ATCTGAAATCAAAAATTTACAATTATTTTTTAATTTAAAAAGACAAAATTTATTACGACCCCAAACAAAAGCCAAATCAGAATTGGCTAAGCATTGTATGTTGTGTGTTATATTTTTATAGTGTGTTTCTGTGTACAAGAATGACTGTGAAATTAAATTGTCTTATTTCTAGCAATTTTCTCCCATAAACAATAATAGTCACTGCTAAAAGGGTTGCTTGCGAACTTACCAGAAATATTTTTTTCTGAATATTCTAGTCTTCAAAACAAACGGTAGCTGTCAAATTCTTACTGCATAATCTAAAATGGTAATCCATGTACTGTATTTCATTTGTAATAAGTCTTTGTGATAAGGTTAACACTTCAACACACAACACAAATAAGAGAGCACCAAAAAATGAAAATTGCTTTGCTTATGTTTCTGTATTAGAATTTTATTTGCTAAAGGGTAAAAACAGATTTGCAAAATTCACAGTTAACTTAAAACAATAGTTTTAAACCTTTATTCCTAGCCCTTACTGCCTTCAGGAAGGAGAGAACATCTGGTTATTTAAGGAACACAATATGTTCACATTTTCTATGACTTTTGTTTCTAATTGGGTTTTAAAATTTTTTTTTTGAATTTGAACAACTAGCTAGAACAATGTTTTTTAATCACTTCATATTTTTCAGATTGTCCTCCTTCTATCCCTCTAACTTCATTTAGTGGATTGTTTCTGGAAATCTGCTCAGTAGTTCTAAGATGATAGAAACAAGAAAATGAGAATTTGGATTATGGTCTGAAGAGCTAAGTATAGAAACTGTATTTAAGGTAAGCAGAGTACAGGATGCTACAAACAGATACTTGACATCAGGTCTTTTTATCAAGCATACATTTACAAAAATTACAAATAGTTACTAGGCCACTTAGATACGTGGCAGTTTTATCTATTACAGATGCAAATAAATATTTATTACATGTATAAATAGAAGGATTTCTATGAGAAATACGTGAGTAGGATCCCACTATCTTTAAAACTAAGAAAGCTCTAGTTCCTGTGTGGAATGGTGCTCTGAAGACCTGGGTCAATAGCTTGCTCTGCCATTGAAAAGCTGAGTGGTAAGACATTTATACTTTATTCTTAGTTGTTTTGAAGTGTACCCTTACATTGTGCACATTAGGTGAGATTATAAGTGAGGTGATGGTTATGTTAATCAGTTTGATTTAAGCATTCCACATTATATATCAAATCATCACACTGTACCCCATAAATGTATGGGCTACATTATAATTTAATAAAAGTTAAATTTAAAAAAAGAAATTAAAAAAAAACGAAAGAAAAGAAAAAGAAAAGCTGAATGACCTTGAATAAGTTTCCAATGCTTCACTTCAAATCTCACTTTGCTCATCTATGAAAAGAGGGAACTGGATTGGACTGTCTAGGTTCTTTGCAGGGAAAAAATTCTGATAGCCTAAGTCAAGTAAATTAACTAAATTCTTTGTTCTCTTTTGCTACATAGTATTTGAAGGTGGTAATAAGTTTTTAAATGAATTTGACACATAGGAATTAAGGAACTAGATAATCCTTAAATTCACGTTGTAGTTAATTCATCATTTTGATAACAATGGAAGCCAAAAAATATACTATTGGCTGTCATTTTGTAGAATGTGAACATGGATTCCAGAAAGATGCTAGGTAAGGTCTACCAAGATTAGAGTTAATGTGGTGTGCCAGAAAGAGGCATAGCATCAGAATCAGAATTCCATTCTATCATTATTTTCTTTATATCAAGCACATGCAGGACACAAAGCTAAGTGCTGCCAAATGAGTAGAAGTAATGAGAGATAAATAAGCATATAGTTTAAATAGTCTCCACAAGGTACCGTGGAGACTCAAAGAGGAGGACATATCCTATCTGAACCTGGACATAATTTCACAGAAAAGGTAGAACAAATGCCTGGAATCTGAGGGGAGAACAGACACAAGTGTCATAAAGCTACTCTATCTATCTTGAAAGCCTATAAGCTTTTGATCTTGGGAAAGCTACTTAATCTTACCTCTATCTACTGAAAAAGAATGAGAAAAGATAATCTACCCTGCCTGCCTAAGAGGGTTGTTGTAAGGACCAAATTAATCAAAGTGCTTGGAAAAGTATGAAAAAGTATGATTCTATCATTATAGTTTACAGGCCCATTATTTCAGTCTGTTCAAACAAGAAATCGTTCCACAGTAAAGCCTACCTCTGACATACACAATTAGAGCTTGGTGGCTCAGGCTCTATGTGCAGAATCTATTCTCAATTGAGCAATCTCCACTAGGACTTAGGGATGATGGTAGAACAAAGTGCTTTTCTGAAGGCTGACAATGAACTTATTACTAAGGCTCAGAGTTCCCTGCTTATCTTTATTTTATTAAATCTGTCAGTAGCATTCAACACTATTGTCATATGAATCTGGGATATGGAAAAGGATGCTCTTGTGGCTCAAATCTCCTCCTCCTCCTAGTTTACTTCATTAAGACTTGTGTGTTTATATAGTAACTCCTACTTGAACCAGGAATGACTCAAAGTATTTTTAAGAGTTGCTATTAATAGAAAGCAGTTAAAGTACTCTGATGTCTGAATTTTTAAAGGATTTAAGTAGGGGTACCAGCAGCATCCTTCCCTCTTTTCTCCTCTCAGCATAAATGGCCTTGTTTATGGCTTTATATTTGACACTAACAGCGATGAAAACTCTGTCCACCTGTTGATTTCTGTAATATTGATGAAGTTACGTTTTTTTTTTTTCCCCACTTGTATCTTTGTAGTACTGGATTGGATCTTGTTAGTTCATTAGACTCAGTTCTTTATACAGGGTGTCCCAAAAGTCACCCTTAAAGTTGCCATACATAAGGAAAATAGGAAATCATTGCTAAATGAATGTTTACCTATAAAATATTCATTACAAAACTTTATGAACAGGTGCCCAACATGTAGAGAATATTTTGTAAATTTTTGTGATGAATATTTTGTAAATAAAGGTACATTTAGCAACCAATTCCCATTTTACCCATGGATGGTGACTTTAGGAGTGACTTTTGAGACACACTGTAGAGCAAAGGATGCTCTGGTTGGGCAGGTCATTAGCAAAAATTTAACTCAACCTTTGAATGTTACAGGAGAGAAGTCCAAGCCTCAGCAAGCATAATTCTTCCCAGGGAAGAGGGATGGATGGTGGCAGAGTGAAAACTTGACCCATGGCCCCAGTTCCTAACTCAGGCCCCTTGCAGAACACAACACTCCCACGGACATACAGTAATTAGCACATATGTCAAGTGACATTTGTTATCATCTGAAATTTACTGAATGATGTCAGTGGGTCAGCTACATACATACTTAATTATAACTATCACTTTCCTGGTAGCCATCTGAAAGCCTATTCTTTTTTCTGAACTTTTCCTCTAGATTCCCATTCTATGAACTTGTTATTGTGAGTCTTTTACATAAAACTCCCCCAATATGTGCAATTTCTTATGCCTCAGAAATACCAGTTTAAGGTCCATTATCTTGATCACATTTTTCCTCGGTAAAAATCTAGATGTGAAAGTAAGGAATTACCTTTCTTTAGATCAGTGGTCCTCAACCTTCCTAATGGGTCCAATGGGCCCTTTAATACAGTTCCTCTGGGTCGTGACCCACAGGTTGAGAACCGCTGCTTTAGATGTTTATGCTATTTTTTCTCTTAAACCTTAAAAAGTCCATATTGTTAATGCTTATAGAATTTGTTTTATTATACTCTTGTTTTATGTATACTACTTCATTGAAATAAAAAGTACTCTATTAAAACCACACTAATGTGAAAGATATTTTGATTCCACTAATAAACAATGATGGCCTTAGTACAAAGAATTTTGAAACCAGATGAGTGAAACTAGATGCTTCCTGAAATGCAGAGAAATGATGGACTGTATTTCTGATGCTGAATTAAACTGCTTTGTATAATAATAGAAATGGTATTAAAGTTCATAATTCTAGAGGACTTGGATGTAGGCATAAGGAAGTAAATCCTTTTAAATTGATCAAAGAATAAATAGAAGATACACTGAAAAGCTGAAGTCAATAACCAAGGAAAGGACAGAAATTCTTTTCAATCTAAATTTACATTAAACTTGGAGGCCCAAGTTGATCAGACAGAGCTTTGGCAACAGAACCCACAGACAGACTGACTGACTCAGAGACAGTGCGACAACTGCCAACATGACTGTTGGGAGGGTTGCCAAAGAGCCAAAGGCTGAGATTACCATCCAATGCTTGGCACTCTGATGCTTGTGTTTGAAGCTTTCTCTCTTATACTTCATCCAATATTTTTGTTTGGCTCAAATGTAGCAAGGATTCACAGATTTTTTTAGATCATTAAATGTTCTTATTTTCAAGAAATATAACATTAGTTGTAAAAGAGCACACTTTTTCTCTGAAGTGTAAAGAAAATTTTGGTGAATTGCTTTGCGTTCAAATAGAGAAATCAGCATTAAGTCTGTTTAAAATAATCTTTATTTTATTAGATTACTCTTAACCTCCTAAATAAGAAATGTATATTTATAATATCAAATAATTTAGTGCTTCATTGTATCCATTCTTACAGAACTGGTCCTTCGTACAGATCTACTTTCTTCATCTTCATATGGTCCCTAAGGCTCTGTTTGACTAAGTCCTCCCCTGTGAGAGGTACAAATGATAATGTAGGTTACTTACAAGAAGTAGTTCCTCAAGTATTGCCTTGAGTTGTGAGGAAGACAGAAGGGAAGAACAATATTCTGAGGAACAAGAGACATCTGCACCAGTTTCTCATGGCAGGGTCCATCTGCCTGCTAAGTTGCTGGACAATAAGGTATATAAATTTTGGCCTACAATTTCAGGCACATACTATCAATAGGCAACTCATCTGCTATTAGACAAATCTACATTATGAATTCTTAGACTCACATAGAGAAGCCTATTTTTCACTCAACTTAAAATTGTGCATATCTTACTGGGAAAACTTACCTTTGGGTCTCTAAGGAACAGAGCCTTAAGAATCAGTGAGTGTACATCCCCGATGAGTGGGTAATGCATCAGAAGGCCGAGACAGGTCTGATAGTTACTAGATATCACTAAATAAGAGGGAAAAAAATAATTAAGATGCAATACTGTTTAAGATATTTTGCATTACTGAGAATATAAAAACTAATAACTTAATGAAATCAAACCAATGATTCAACTAATTTGATAAAAGGATGTGGGGAGAAGGGATCCTTACCAAATGCCCTTTGAAGTGGCTCACTGTATTGTGAGCTGCAATCTAATATAGTAGTACTTATCCTCAGGGGGTGCTGGAAGGTAGAACTTCAGATATAGACATATGTGTACATGAAACTGATGTGTCACATTTATTCTTTTGTATATATAAATACTATATAATTCAAAAGTTAAAAAAATATAATTTCTTTCAATTATTTGTTTTCTAGGTAAGAAGATATTTAGGGAGAGAATATCTATGTAGTGCTTCATGGAGAAAAACTAAACTATCAAAATCTTCATAGTAAGTCTGTGTTCTATAGCCTTCATTTAATTTTTTTTCAAATCAATCTACTTATAGTACAATTATTAAACACATTTTTTCAGTCAGGTCTATGTAAACTACTTTATTTCTTATCAATCTATCTGCCACCACTGTCACAGTTGGGCCCATTAACAATGCTTGTCTTGTGAGCCACACTGACTGTGCCTCCATAGCGCTGATTGTGAGAAACTTCATAGTTACAACTTCCTGTGGTTGTAACTGAATCTTTTTCATTAATTTGTTACTTAAAAAAATGTTCCAGAGGAAAATAACCATCGTTCAATAAAAATAACACAAATCAAAAAATAAACAATTTTTTTTGTGATTAGAAATAGCCCTGATTCTCAGATTTTCTCCCTGCTTTTGGAAACACTGTATCTGGCTATAATTTTCCATACCCCCTCCCATGAGCACTGCGGGGAAAGGAGACTGTACTGGGCAAAATGAATAATTATTATCTATGTAAGGAACCACTTTATCATCTTCATTTCAATTGCTGATCTGACAGCTTGTGATTTCACACATCTGCTTTCATTTGTAAAGCATTCACTTATCCTACCCTTTAAATACCTGTGTAGACTCTTTTTTTCTTATTTGTCCATTTTTTCATATTTACCTTCAGTTACCTGCTGTCCTTTTTTTTCTAGAAGTACAAAGAACTAGGATACTGAGAACAGCATAATGTTTTCATATGCAGTGTTCTTTCAGATGTAACAGGTAAATATGATTTAGATAATCAATTCATCTTACAACTCAAAAAGTTATTTATTGTATATTAGTAACTGACCAAGGAAGAATGCTTATGTATCTTGCAAAAAAGGCAAGAACATTCTGCAGAACAGTAGGTTGAGGACTGGATTTGAACCCTGGGACCCTATCTGAACCTTTCACAAGGTTGCCTGAAGATTAAATAACTTGGTGATTTATGGCAGCTGTTCCAAACCTGTCTGGGTGACTTCTGTGAGCTTACATTTAGTCATTTGGAAAACAACTTTTTTGATTAAAAAATTATTTGCCGACTTCATTTGATCCAATAATTATTTGTTGAGTACCTAAGGCATGATAGGCCCTACACTAGGAGAGGATGCAGAGATGAACAAAACAAAATCCTGCAGAAAATTGAAGCACAGAAGGGCACATGTTTAACATCATACAGTTATTGCTACTACTACCACTAAGATTACAAATCACTGAGGCTTCCTCAAGCCAGCCTACATGCTAAAAACTTAGTCTACATTATCTCCTTTAATTTCCATGGCAACCTTATATGGGTACAATTATCATCCCTGTTCTGCAGATGCACAAATTGATACTTGCAGAGGTTAAGTCACTTGCCCAAGCCACACATCAATTCAGTGGAGGAGCAGGATTGGAAGCTTAAAAGTCTAGCTGTAAGCTGTAGGGTCTGTACACTATTTAATATAAGGCTTTGTTTTGAAGGGCTATTATTTCGAAAGTCAATGTAATAGATGCAAATGTCATTTTAAATAGTGAAGTCATTAAATATTACTTTTCTAGTTTCAAGCAGGCTGGAAGGTCAGTATAATCCAGAATCTAGAACAGCCTGACACAGACATAGATATACAGATATAGAGTTAGATAGATGAACAGGGACTAGAGAAATGATCTTATGTTGCTATAATTTGATAAAAGTTTCAAAGCTATCAGAGCTGAGTTCGGATAATTAAATGAAAATACCTTCTCCTTAAAAAAAAAAAAAAAAAAAAAAACAAACTAAAAAAGAGGGGTGACGCCTGTGGCTCAAGGAGTAGGGTGCCAGCCCCATATACCAGAGGTGGCAGGTTCAAACCCGGCCCTGGCCAAAAACTGTAAGAAGAACCTCAGGTGGCTTATCTGTACATTAAAATTAAAAAAAAAAAAGTAAAAAAGAAAAAGCTATCAGAGCTATAAAATATATGAGGTAAGCAAATGAAGAACTTAACATTCTTTCATCCATCCATTCATCCATCCAACCACTGCATACAATGAACATTCCTGGGCTAAAACTGGATATAATGGTGAATGAGTCCTCTGCCTTCAGGTAATACTATCTCTAATTTATTAGTGAAAATCAATACTTTTAGAATACCCATCGTTTGTAATTACATATGCTAAGTATTAACTCCCTTTTGAATAACCATGCCTAGTTTAGAGTAAGTGCCCAATTTATAGAAGCTGGTTTAGAAGCAAACTAATCAGGATCTGATAGAATAAGAATTTTGTTTTGTACTTCACAATCAACTTTTGTTGAACACGATAAACCAATCTATAACGCTATTCTTTATTCAATATGTAGTCTATCTGAGCAGGGCAGTGACATGGGGAGGAACAGTGTAATTTTTTTTAATCTGAGTTTTGATATCTACTTATATTTGAAATAAAGTATGTTTATGCTTAAACAAAATACTGAAATCATACTCTGAAGAGCTAATTCAGGGAAGGTTAAAAACAAAGGTAAGTGGTACCTAGGAAAACATAATGGATTTGGAATCAGAAGCTAGATCAGAATGTTGGCCTCTTCTGCACTTGTGTATGAATTTATGTAAGCTGTTTAATTTCACTGAAACTTTATTTCTCTCATTTACAAATTATAGACAACAATGCTCGCTCTATTTATGGGGTTGTTGCATGGGTGGCACAGATGCTAGGTGGTATGTTCCTCTGTCTTGCTCAATTCATCCTTGATGAATATAGCTACCTCCACATGAAGCTGAACTGATTTCTCTGTCTCTACCTTTATATGGCTACCTACCGCTATAGAGTGGTCACAGGGAGTTGAGTTGGTTTAGTTTCCCCAGAAAAACAAACAAACAAACAAACAAAAAAAAGGTGAAAGCAGTAAAACATAAGCAGAGAAAGTAACTGTTTTCAGAAAGTTTAAAGTAATGTCGATCAACAACTTATGTAAAACTCAAAGCTAACTATATCTACAATTGTATCATGTACAAATACACATGATTTTTTCCAAATTATTTAATTCCATACTGAGATATACTTTCTCAAAGTTTTAAAAGAATCTAAAAATAACTACCAAAACACAAAACTAAATGGAGACTAATTTCCCTAAAATCAAAACAATTATTAAGCACCTAGCACCTATGTATGCTTGGAAACTTGCCATGTATTTTACAAACATCCTTTGAGTCCTTCTAATTCCCCAAAGGAAAACATTATCAATTCCCTATAATGGATCATGTGGATAAAAAACACAGGTAAGACTGCAGAGCTCTTGAAACATGGAGGAGTGCAGACCTCAGGTCTGTGTGAAGTGAAGGCCTCCCTCTTTACCACTGTATTTTATACTTTCCTGTATTCCTAGTTAGAGAGTGTCATAATAGGCGTATCTGTGTACTCAAGTCATGGGAGACACAATGCAGATGGCATAAATTATGTTTTGGGCCGCAGAGAAGCCTCAAATATATAATGAAAAATGTCCTCAGTATGTAAGGTCGAGTGTAGCAAATGTTTAGAAACAGGCATATATTCTAACATTTAGATAGAAAATGGGATATAAAATAAAATAATAGATTAAATATTAAAGTAATGAGCTAGCAAAAAAGGAAACCTTAAGGACTTCTCATAATTTATTGTACTTCACTGAAAATAAAACCTACTCTTTTGGCTATAAAAAGATCCTTAAAAGTTATTCTTACTGCTTAATACTTTAAACAGAATCTATTTTGATAAGAAATAAAACAACATAAGAGATATTTACTAAGTAATTTATATTTTTAAATATACAGTGATGACAATTATAAGACAGTAAGTAAGCAAGTATCCAAATGCAGAATTGCCAGTAGCTAGGGTGTGAGATAGCAGCATGAGTGCTGAACTAGAAAAGTCAGAATGACAGCATGTCAGCTTCAGGAGTGCCATGTGTACCAGCTACAACATCTGAACCCTATCGATTAAGTGCACAGCCTTCATTTTTCTTTACCTCCTCTATCTCATTACCCACTGAATGAATAAAATGAGATGATATAGTGCAAAACGTCTTTTAATGCAAATTACTAACACAAATGTAACAAGTATAGGGAATGAAAGCCCAAGTTCTATTTCCATATCTGTAAAACATCATGTTAATGAAGTTGAATAAATTTGGTGAGCAATAAGATTTAGAAAGGAGGCTGGGCACAGTGGCTCAGGCCTGTAATCTTAACTCTCTGGGAGGCTGAGGCAGGTGGATCACTTGAGTTCAGAAGTTTGAGAGCAGCCTGAGCAAGAGCAAGACTCCATCTCTAAAAATAGCTGGGCATTATGTTGTGGCAGGTACCTATAGTTCCAGTTACTCACAAGACTAAGGCAAGAGAATCACTTGAGTTCAGGAATTTGATGTTGCTGTGAGTTATGATGCCATAGCACACTATTTTGAGGGTGACAAAATAAAACTCTACCTCAAAACAAACAAACAAAAAGATTCCGAAAGGAAATGGCCTGATTCATGAATGTGCCTCACTTAATTTTTTAATCTAAATGAAAGAAAGTCATAGGTCAGGAATTAGTTACATATGAATAGAGATATATATAGGTACATTTTATTTCATTATCCTT